CCTATACATATCGGGGTACATTTCTGTACCATGGATTACTTTACATTATACAGCTGAAACAGGATAACACTGCATAGATGTTCTAATCATATGTTAGACTTGCATTATCTCTGATAGTTTCTTGAGGTCTTCTATCATAGTCTATGATGATTCCTGCAGTCTATCTATCACAGTCTATGATGAGTCCCGATTCCTGTCTATCACGGTATGTGTTGGATTTAAAGCCCTGTCTATCTCAGTTTGTGATGGGTCAGAGCCCTGTCTGTCACGGTCCATGACGGGTCACGTGAGTGTCTGTTACGATCTATGAGGGGGGGGGGGGGGGCGAGGGGATGGATGCAAACTTCTACCCTAAACACTTCAAGTCTTCTTTCAGATTATATTTCACAAAATATAACGTACCATGATCAAGTAGATATAGCCCCTATCGGAATAGATCGTGAAAAAACAGGAAAAAATCAGGATTTTCGGTCAAAAACAGGAAAAACAGGACATTTTTAAAAAATCAGGAAAAAATCAGGAAAGTAGTACGGCTGCGAGGCCTGTTATATTGATAATTCTTTTTTTCATCTTTCAGCCTTGTTCTTATTTTCTAAATATATATGAAGAAATGTGTTGCTCTTGTTTATTGTTGTACACCTATCAAAAAGATTGAAATAAATAAACTCATCAAATGAATATCATGTCGATCGAAAAGGTATTTGACACCTGTATATTTTTTGTAAATAAGCGAGAGTTATGAAATACTCTTTTTTCCTTGTTGTCTAACATAGACTTCTATTCATTCAATAAATCAAACTTGCAAATATGTTTTCCTTTTCAAGAAGAACTTCTTTGTAATTCTATGTTGTTAATAAAATTATTGAATGACATATGTTTAAGATTTCTAAGAAAAGAATTAAGTACTAAATTAAACTTACACATGCACTGTTCTAAGTAATTATCTAATGATCTCAGCATTTTTGAAAATGTATGAAATTTTGTACTTCATAGTATTTCGTTTAGAAAATAGGCAAGTTTTCTTCTATCAAACAATAAATAGTAGCTCTTGTTTTTTTCTTCTACTGTCTGTTTCTAATAAGTGACAGTGAAATTTCATAAAAAGTGTTTTTTCAAATGTCAATAAATTTTCAAGAGAAAATCTGCATTTGAATGATTAAATTAAAGAAAAATGAAGAAATCAAAATCTCAACTTTTTGTATTCATTGTAAAAAAAAACTCAATTTGATGATATTATAAAATATAATTCTTTCTCTCGTTTAAATTCAAACTATTTTCAATCATTATTGTGATATGATTCTTTACCTCATGAATAAACCAATTCAAATGACTTTATTTGAATATTTTGTTTTAAATATTTTCTTACATTAATATCAATCATGAGACTAAAGAAAAAAGAGATTGGTATACATAAAAAAAAAGATCGAAACAAAAGATGTCAAAAGTACTATTCATGTAGCTTTAGCACACAATATTCATATATAAGTGCAGGACATAGATGTTGCTACAAAGAATTCACGTAGTAATGATGAAAGCGTGTGCTGAAGCTGTATTAGTCACACTTTCAATATTTTTTGTTTCAACCTTTTTTATATCACTCAAAAGATTTCTTAAAAATTTCATGATTATTATATAGCAACTAATCAAAATAACAGATCGTATACTGTTACTCACATGTTCGATATTTTAATGTATCTTGCACAATTTTTATGTTTGACAATACACATCATGTTGAAAAATATTTTTGTTTTCTACATTGTATCTTTGAATTTCCTTCACACGTTCTACATCGAATAAACATACAAAGAATCTGTTAATTTTGATTAACAATTGTTAGTAAGAAATGCTCTTTAATCAGCTTTTTTTTTCTGAATTGTTACTTATTAAAAAGAAAGATTTTTCATAGAATCAACCAATAGAAAAAAAAAAGTTTAATAAATTAAAAATGTTTTATTTTATATTTGCCATTTTCTTGTCTTTCTCATTGTCTGTCATTCATGTGTATTTATGTTTTATATTATAATTATATATTTCTTTTTGATAATTTTGAAAAGATTTTTTTACGTGTTAAATTTTGAAATAGAAATGCTTTTATCTATAATAGATTGACAATGAAAGTATTCAACAAGATCAGTACAATGAAAGAAATTTTATAGAGAAAATAAAACAACTTAGATATTCATATTTATAACACTTCGCATCATCCCTTTGTAATATTACTTTTGACAGGAGATATAAAAACTAAATATAATGGATCTACTTTAGTGGCATATATGAGATGTAATATATGTCACAGTTGATATAAAAAGATTCAAATAAAATTCAAATGCACCAATTTAGAAAAATTTTCTCAAACAAAAATTAATAATAAGAATAAAACTTTATAAACAAGATGAACTAATTAATTTAGACAAAAATGCACAAATGTTTTCTGTTTTTCTTTTATTATTTTCTTTTAAAATTCTATTCAAAACTTAACAAAAATGATTATGCATCATAAAACATCGCTTTTAGTATTTAAAATACAAATCTAATTTTCAATTTGATCAATGCTTAAAAACATTGATTATTCTGTAATATCATCATTATGAGATCATACATATGGTTTTAATTCAATTTTCTTTATCAATCCCTTCTCGTCTGATCAAGTACTTCTAAAAACAAAACAACATTTTAAAAACTTTCTCCAGTTATTCAATGTGCATATGTTTCAAATTTTCAAAATACAATATTATCGAAATATATATTCTATTGAACAAAATACATATAGTCAACTTATTATTGTTTAATTTATAGAATAACAATTTAAATATATCTTTATTATCAATTAAACTTCAAAATACAATTAAATCATAATAAAAAAATAAAAAAGGTTTTTTGTTCATACACTCACAATATCAGAATCACAAGACACACTATTTTAAACTTAACTAAATTCTAAATTCATTTACCACATATATATATATATACTCGTGGATACAAATAGTTTAGAGAATTCTTAAAAAAGTATATGATCACAAAACAAATCATATTTTAAAAATTAATTACATATTCTGAAAGCATTTGAAGTTTTCGATCATTCTGTATATCTGTCTTTTAGTTGATATTTATGTGTTGAGAAAATAGATCGAGTCTATGAAAGCATCCTCATTATCAGATTTTAGTAGATTTGATTTTGTCGTAACTTTTTAAATTAGTTTTTTTCTACGATTTTTTTTATTAATCTATATATTTATTTAGTTTCTGACGCTTATTCGATGAAATATAATCTAAGAACAGAAAATATATCTTCAATCAACAAGTATTCAAAATTTGTAGGTTTTCTTCTCTTTTTTTTTAAAGTTATTAGTTCCCTAGAGGTAAATTTTTTTATAAAAGAAATTATACGTTCCACTAGTGCTGCAAATTTTTTATCATTTTGTATATTTATTAATTTCCTGACCTTTATTTGTTATAGTACATAAATATAAAGCAAAACAACGATATATAGGATGATAGAGAATTTCAAACTGTATCGAATTATATACTGATTTATTTGTAAACACTATATCTGTCATCATGAAAAAAAAATTGAAACGACAGTGAAAAAAATCTCATCGATTAGAAGCTGATGAAGAGGATATCTTCATTGAGTTCGATTTATTTTCTAGAACGCAAGTATAAATTAAAACAAAATATATAGTTTGATAGAAAACTTCAAGCACTTTCAGAATATGTAATTACTTTTTTTTTGGAAAGTATGTTTTTCTTCCGCTGATAATACATTGAAAATATGCATGGATATAATTTTTTTTTCCAGGCATATATTTATATACTTGTTATTTTCAATCTTCTTAAATTATGCATTGATAAAATCTCTATTATGTCCATATAGTTTCATTGGATGATATCAAATATTATGCAAATAGAAATAAAATATACTTACAGTAATTGTTCTTGTTGTTTATAATTAGTCATATCAACAATATGTGAATACTATTTTTATAAATTATTCTACCCAGGCAGACAAACTTTTCAGAAAACACGTTTAAACGCACAGAAATTGGTCTAAAATCCGCAAAAAGTGGACGTTTTTGGTTCACACTCGCGGTTCCCGACTGTGAACCGAAAACATCCAATTTTCGCCCTTTTTATGAGTTTAAACGCGTTTTCTGAAAAGTCTGTCTGCTTGGGTAGTGTCTATTCGTCGTTTTCTAATTAATGCAATAAGAAATGAGGTTTTTTTTTTGACTAAAAAATATTTTTTTTTATTGTTCACGATTAATGATGTATTAAAATGTAAAAATCATTGTTAGTGTCACATCATCTGCATGATTGATGATGATCGAAATATGTCGTATCCTTGATTAAATTCTATTCTTATATAATGAGTTGAAATAAAAAGAATATAATAATTTCCGATATGGAATATTTTTGTCATTTTGTAGAAAATGTTAACAAGCAAAGTTCTATCATTTTTTTTTCCATTGTTAGATGAGTACCTGTAATTTGGAAAGCTATATGATAAAAAGTCAATAATATGGTTTCTAATTGACATACGATTATCCGCAATTACCGAATGTTAAAAACTTTTTTTTTATAAATTCTCATAACAATCTTCTTTTTAATAGTTCAATGTCTATATACAATAGAGATGGTTATTTTTGTCTACAAACGACAATCATTTGCTATATATTATTACGGCTGTGTGAAAGCATCATACTATCTACGTGATAACTGATGACAGTGCATCATATGACACGTTTGTGTGAATTAGTATTACTGGCAAATATCAAGCTTCACTTAGATTGTTTAGGTTTTGTATGAAAATTTGTTTTGTCTATTTTTTGTTACATATTAGAATAAATTTAAACAATTTGAGAATAAAACAATTATTTTTTCTTGATTTTTATTTAATAAAACATTTATAACAGAAAACAGATGCTGGAATTAATATAAAAATAAAAAATAAATCATACAATGTTCATGAACAAAAATAATTAATTAATTTCTTTTCTTGTTCAACTACAAACATGTTTGTCTTTATGACATTCTGCTTTACAAGCATGTTCGCGTGCTTTCATTGCAGCTTTATCAGATTCAAATGCTGCATCTATACGATCACTTGGTGTTCTATTTGGATCAAGTGCTTTTTCTGCTTTATCGTCAGCTTTTTTTAGTTGAATAGCTTCTTTTGCTTTTTCAACACCAGCTTTAATAGCATCCATTTGTTCTAATTATTAAAAAAAAAAACTAAAATACTAAACAAGAAAGACTTTGTTCATACGTACAATTAAAAAAGTTTATGAAGGTAATAGTATATGTTGCAGTTATTCGTAGTGTGAGAATGAAGTTAAATGAGTAGACTCTTCCTATTTATTCATACGTAAAACAGGAAGAAAGACGATCTCTTTTTTCTCTAATTCTATTTTTTTTTCGTCTTTCTTTCGGATTCATTTGTTCTCGAATAATTTTTTATGCGACTTACAGAACAGATAAAGAAAGGTCATGCACTACAAATCCAATGGTTGGTCATGTGTTTATGGCACGTTCTCTACAATGTGAAGTAGTTTTTACTTTCTCAATGAGAAATATTATGATGGAAGAACATATGTGTGTCTGATAAGCTAAAAAAGATTTGCACCGTCAGATGGGGTGATGCAGTATCTTTTATGGTAATAGCTTATTTATAAATAGAAATTAGTTTAGAACAAATAGAATAATTCGTCAAATTTAAAAAAAAAACAAAATAAAATAAAATATAATTTATCTTTTAGTTTAGATACTTCAAAGTAAACAATGAAAAATATTATAAAATAAATTGTTTACATACATATTCAAGTTTCATTTTAATTATTTCAGCTTTAGATGGATTATTCACTATATCAACATGTTTACACGATGTTTTCGATGGATTTGCTTTTTTTTTATTGAGCTTAGTATCAAGGTTGTTAGTTTCTTGAAGATCTATAGAGAAAAATGATTATTTTCCAGAGTTTTTTTTTTTATTCAAACATTGAAAGAAAACATTAGAGATATCGATTTATTTAACAAACAACAATAATTATATAAAATACTAATCTTTATTTATAATTATTTTAATAGAAGCATTTTTCATTGAAAAGAATAGTTGATTGTATAGGTAAATAGTACAACCAGCTGTTTCAATACTTTTTATTAATAAATGAATCATAGAAGTTGTGTATGAAGATTGCTACATGAGAAACATTTCTTTATTCGAACCTACAATTAAATAAATTTTTAAAATTCCTTCAACACATATTGGTACTCATAGATGGATTTTGTACGTCTGATCAGCTGAATTTATCAATGAGTGATGATAAACTTAACTATAATCTTTTCCTTAGTAAATCATATCTATTCTAATGATAATAATTCTAATAATATAAATTAATGATGACAATAAAAATTAATCTCACTTGATTATACCAACAATGATATTTTTAAATATATTATTAAATAAAAGTTGACTAAGTTACTCTGCTAAAAAAAATGGAATTTTAATTTCTGTACCTAATTTTATTTCAATTTTAATTTATATCTGAAATACTCGTATGATATATATATTTGTGTTCATGATCATAACTTCAACCGATTGATCTTTCATTTTTGAATAGTATCTGTTTCATCATTAATAAAAGAGTAATTCCTAATCATATCGGCTTTCCTTTTTTTTTGCTTCTAACATCTGCACTACTTCGTAATTATGTTAACACAATAGGACAATACAATATTAATATACAATAGTTCTTGTAAAGTATTTAATAAAATTGATTAAAACACCTTTATTTTCTTAAATAATAATGTTCATCAAACAACATAGAGATTAACCTTCTTTAATTTCTTCTTGATGTGCATGTAAGATAAATAACTCCTTAGTTTTGAAAAAGAAAATCTCTTGATTTGAATATAATAAAAAAGAATATGAATATTTCATGATGTCAACTAGTAAAAAAGGCTGATACTTATTATTGTTTGATACATTTTGAAAGACACTTGAAAATAAGTACGTTTATAACTAACAAAAAACAGAATATTCGACTGACACACTTGATAATATTATCTATTTCAATAATTTCTTTTCGAATTTTTACATATACAAAACTTCATTGATATAATCTTAGACTTGAAAAACATTTTTCAACAATATTAGTTAATTTCAATTTGTTTATATTTTTAGTATAATTGTTTAATGAACAAATAGATATTGAATACAACCATAAATATATTGTGTTAGTATTATAGAAATGTTTTTTCTTTTTTTATAGATCAAATAGTAAAAGAGAAATATGATGCAAACATTAATATTTCATAAACTAAAAACTAGAAAATCTTAAATAAGTTATCCTATTTTTATAAAATATTTCATCATGATCAAATGATAAAACTCAAAAATAAATATTGTTTTCTTTTTCGTATACAAAATATTTCTTATATTCTTCATCATATATGATGAAAGAGATGAACTTTAGAGATTATTATTTGTATTCTATCTAACTATTTTCATCTCAAAACTATAATATTAATCTGTCAGATGTCTTTTCAAATAATATTCATATATCCTCAATGAACATATTGTCTGAAGTAAAATTTCAATTTTAATAAGTCAAGAAATATTCTCAAAATTAAACATCGATGATTTTTATTTTGTTTCTTATTCTTTTTTTTCTCATTGCTACTGATGCACACATATCGAAAGATGAAATATAAAGCCAATATACATAGGCCATTTGTTCGTTTCTTCTATCGAAATATACAAATATGATGAACGCAGATGTATTCGTCGCCGCGTTAATTTTGTTTTCTTCTCTTTTTTCTCTTTTTCTTACCGCCGACAATATCGTCTTGCCGTCAATGTGTTACTTTCTTTTGACAGTCTGTTGGCGTTCGTTTTCTTTCTTTTTTTTGTCTACTACCGTCCGTCAGCCTTGACCAGTGGCCGCGAAAAGAGAGAGAGAAGTGAGCCTTGTCATTGTTCTTTCTTCTACATTCTCAGTGAACGGACGACGACGAAAAGAAATGAGTGGATGGTGAATGAACACATCATTCCCTCGTCTTTTTTTTTTGTTCTATTTGAAGGTCAGTTCAAACACACTGCCGCTTTGTTAAACATTGAACAACAAGAAGAAGAAAAAAAAGAAAGACGATTTGCGACTTCTCTTTTTACTCCACCCATCATTTTCAATGATCAAAGACAAGCAATAATGTATAAAATTTAATACTAAAAAAAGTCACAATAAAAAATATTTTTAAAAAGAAAAAAAAAAAAAACATAAATGGCATCACCACAATTTCAATCAACAGATTTTCAAACACCAGTTAAAAAGAAATGTTCATCATCATCATCAATAAGTTCACCATCATCAATATCAACAACTTCAACAAATCCAAAACAACGTTCAATAACTGATAGTAGTAGTAATAATAATGATGAAACAATAACAACAATTAAAATGGAAGATGGAAATGATGAAATTAAAATATATTCAGCATCAACAATTAAAAAAAATGAACCCGATGATGATATTGATATTGATGGTATTGAAGATCGACTTTCACCTGTTGTTGAAGAACCTGTAAGATAATTATTTTTGAAAAAAAACAAAAAAAAATTATTTTCATTTCTTTTATTTCAGACAAGTCCAAATAAAAATGATGCATTCAATAGTAGTATTTCTGGTTTATATACATCACCATTTCTTTATCCATATTTTCATCCAATGTTTCATCCATATTTAATGGCTGCAGCTGCACAAGCAAATGCTGCTGTATCATCAACAGTATAGAAAATTATTTTTTTTTTACCTAAAAAAAATATTTATTTTCTTAGGATAAATCATCAACAGATGGTCAAATACCTTCACATAATCCATATGGTACTGTACCTTCAACATTATCACCATTTCCAGGTTTTAATCCAGGTAAAGAAAAGAAGAAAAAAAAACATTCTGATATAAAATTTGAATAAAAATTGTTGTTTTAATTAAAGGTATGCCTTTTCCTTCATTATATCCACCGGGAATGGCTAATCAACCGTTTCGACCAAATCTTTTTAATCCATTCGGTATTCCGATTCCAACACCTGGTGTTCGACCTCCGGCACCATCATCATCATCATCATCATCATCTTCGAATCGTCATCATCAAAATTACGATGGATCTTCTCGAAAGTAAGATTAATAACGAATGAATAAACTATTGTTTTTTTTGTTTCTGTAGTCTTAGTGCTTTACTTGATGTACAACGACCTAAAAAACCTCATATAAAAAAACCTTTAAATGCTTTTATGCTTTATATGAAAGAACAACGTGCACGTGTTATTGAAGAATGTACATTAAAAGAATCATCAGCTATCAATAAAGTTCTTGGACAAAAGTGGAAAGAATTACCTCGAGCAGAACAAGATAGATATTATGGTAAAACACATAAAAAAAAATTATTTTGAAATTGACGTTTTCTTTCTTATATTCCAATATGAAATATTTAGAATTAGCAAAAGAAGAACGTAATCGTCATATGCAAATGTATCCAGGTTGGTCTGCACGTGATAATTATGGTTTAAAAAAGAAACGACAATCAAGTGGTCATACACCAATATTAAATAATTCACATAAAAAAGCACCAAGAGAAAATAATTCTATGGTTAATAGTCCAGGACATTTAAATCATAATAGTCCACATCGTTATGGACATCAACAATCACATTTAATTAATAGTCCACATATGAATTCAACAAAAAATCCAATGCAATTAGAGAATGGTAAAAATATTTGTTTTAAAAAAAAAAAAAGAAGTTTTTCTATATTTATTTTTATAAATAGATTGTTTAAATCAAAAGAAATGTCGTGCCCGTTTTGGATTAGAAGGTCAAAGTCAATGGTGTAAACATTGTCGACGAAAAAAGAAATGTACAAGATTTCTTGAAGAAGATATGTCAAATCATGCCAATAATAATCATAATCATAATAATAATAATAATATAATAAATAATTATCATAATTCATCTTATAATAATCATGCAATGAATATGAGTAATAATAGAAATTCATCATCAGTTAGTTCACCACAAACAAATCAATCTGATAATGATGATTCAATAAATGAACCTGATGGTGATGATATATTATCTCGACAAGTTGATTCAATTGAAGATGATGATGATGATGATGATGATGATGAAAATGATGATGAACATCATACAAATGACGATGACAGTGATGAAGAAAATAAACAACAACAACAACAACCTGTTCCACTTGTTTATAAACCAATTCCATCGAAAATTGATTCTCATCAACAAGCATTTCAACCACCACCACCAGCACATTTATATCAACCTCAAATGTTACCATCTCATTTTGCACCTAACTTTCATTATTAAAATACAGTTGTGTTTCTTTTCTTTTCTTTTTTGTTTGTGTTCAAGAAAAAATTATGGTGCTTCATCTTTCTTGGTTTGTATATTATACTTCTATATGAAATTCTTTGACTCGAGTGACAAACTTCTCTTCGTTTCCTGTTTTTTTTTTCTCACGATTTTTTTTTTGTTTTCTTCTTACTCTGTACTTGGCGAGCATGTGAAAAGTCTTGTGATTTCGACATGTGGTTTATTAATGAAAAAGAAAAGATCTTCATAACGAAATTTTTTTGAATTTCTAAACAAGAGTATATGAGGATCTTGCGTTAAATGTGAGGAGGAGAGTTCGTTAAATTATGACATCAGTTTCTGCTCGGTATCGAGTATATTATTTTTGAAACAGTCACCAAAGATATTAGGGGCGATATAGTGGGAATTAGATCGGTAGATTTCATTCAAGATGTGTGTGACATGTCAGTGAAAAAGGAGACCTTCGGCATTTATAAACATAGCGCCTTGAATTAAAGTGTTTTGGCTACAAATTAATCTCAATAGAATAATATCAATTTGTAGAGTTTTGAGAAGCTTATTGAATGACATTCAATTCAAATGGGATCACCACTACCACGATTCAATAGTGAGGAAGTTATGTCATGAGTGTGCTCAGATTGTGCCTCTTTTATACTATTTTTGATATGAAGTAAAATTAAGAAAGCTCAAGAAAACAGATAAATTTTTTATGGAAATACCACATTGGAGAACACTTAGGGTGAAGATAATATCGAGTTTTGCGTTAGTCGTGGACAGCTGGAATGAAGCCTAGTAGTGTACTTCGAATAACATGGACTCCTAATATCTTCATTGACAGTTTGGAAAATAATAGATTCACTTTTTGTGAGAGTGCCAATTCTATTGTTGAACGAATCTTCTTCTTTATATATCGAATCTATTAATAATAATTAATCGAAAATTTATTTTACTTAGCAACATAATCAAAATTATTAAATTTCCTTTTGAATTAACAAACTTTTTGAAAATATCTAAAAAATGGCATCGACATTCGATTCCAATTGGTCACTGCCAACAACTTTTTCATTCATACAGAATTTCAATCAAGTTGAATCATATGATGTATCGAAAGCAACTATTGAATTGGGTTCAAGTTCTACATCTAATAATGATACTCACTATAATCCGAGGCTATCTACATGGTTCAATAATGAATTTTATTTTGAAAAACTTCAATCTACACCTGAATATCATCAGGACAATGAAGTAGAGTCACATACAACAATGAATATGCCAAATTTACTTGAAAATTTTATTGGCTCGATTCAACCTTGTACTACTTGGTATTCAGATGATATGAAAAATATGAAATCACAAGTGGCTATCGTCTTATGTAAACTTGAGTTACTCAAAAAAATTCCTATTAATAACGAAGTGATAAAATCAATAGAAAACGATAGATATGAACACGATGTATACCAACCACTTGATACATATACTTTTCCAATACGAACATTACATGGAAATATACTTTTTGATTTTTCGAAGCAGTCGATTAACTACGATATTTATATACAGTTAATGCAACTTGTACGTTTGTCAAATTTAGATAAATTTATTGAAAAAATATTTCATAAATCAGGTTATTTGAATTGATCTACTTTATTTTAATATTGAAATGAGTAACAAACTAGATGATTATAGGAGAATATTATCATATAGATTACAAAGAACATCGTCGAAAACAATTTGAAAAAGAACAAAACACTCATGAAAATTTATCATATCATCATGTTTATCGATTTAATCATGATATAACAATTAATCATTATGGTTCTCATTCCGTTTTATCAAATTCATCAATTCATAATAAGTATCAAATATCAAACAGTGATGAATTAATGTAAAATAATTTTTCAATTCACTTTTGTTGATATTTATTTGTTTCAATTCTTACAGAAAATTACATCAAACAGATAAAAATAGTTGTTGTATAACGATGGCTAAAAGTGTACATTTTCGTGCGTCAAGTCATTGTTTTGTACTTGATGGTATTGATATTTCAGCTCGTTTTCAACATGATCGCAAAATTTTACAAGATACTTGTCAACGCTTTCATAGTTATGTTAACATCGAGTAAGTTTCGCATGATAATGAAAAACAGCAAACCTTTTTTGAGCGTTTGATGCATTGATGTCTGAAACTTTGAAGTCCAAAGTTTTAATATCTAATATGCATTCTTTCAAAAGTTAATCAGTGCCAAATTTTTTATCACTACCCTATGCTTATAGAGTAGAAGCAGAACAAAATGCTCTGTAAACTTGTGGTTGTTTTCATGTTAAAGAGTTATTCAAGTGTTTTTATGAATTATACTGAAAGATATAGAATTAAAAACCGCACAAAGTGATCTATTTCGATATAATACAGTATTGACCGATTCAAGTTTAACGAGGCTAACATAAATGAAAAATGACTCCCTCGATAAGTCTAGTATCCATTTGATAATAGTTTATTTCCTATAAGAATTTACAATTAAAGAGATTCAAGGTTAGTTCTATAAATTTTATACAACATTTTATTCTCTACAGAATGGTAAAAAGAAATATTAAAACATAAATGATATCTTCGATGTGAAACGGAATCTAAACCTCTCTCTTACATAATAGCCTAGGTGATTTTTCAATTAAAAAAAAAAAAGATTTTTAATTCTTAATCTTTTAGTATAATTTATGAAAAAATTCGAATGATCCGTTAAAACAAAAACAAGTACAAATTTTATAGAGTGTTATGTGTCGCTTCTTTGTCATAACCATATGAGAGTGTTAAAAAAAGTAAATATTGACTAAATTTTGAAAGAAAGGATATTGGACGTTAAAGTTTTTTTGTTGATAGGTTCAGAGAGTGAATGCACAAAAGAAATTTAATCGAGTGTTACAAATACTCGATGATTTCATGATTCCTCTGTTAATTCTTCCATTCAATTTTGAATAGTTCAAATACAAAACAAAATGAAAATAATGACTTTCTACAAACTACATCTGTATCAGATGATCGTTCTTCACTCACACGAACTGAAATCAATCAAGTCACTTATGAAAATCTACATTCTTCAATGTTACAATTAGATGTTAATTTAAAACAAACCATTCATTTTATTTTCGTTTTATGTACACATAGAATGAAAAAAATCTATCGATTATTAGAATCATTATTGAAACCATATGTTTCACGAAATATTTCTATTGTCTATGTTACATTTGATGAGATTAAATCTTTCTTAATTAAATATGAACAAATATCCCATGAAAATCTTCAGCAAGATATTTCACTATCAAGTACATTACAAAATTCTCATAACACTTCTTCATCAACTATGTCGACTAAAAAGAACATATTCAAACAACGTAAAATTCTATTTCAAAGAGTTAATTTGAAAAAAGAATTTAATACTAATGCAGACGTCAATAATGAAAATATAAATAATTCAATATCTGAGTAAGATAGTTTCAATAATAAGAAATTGTTGAGTTCTATTTCATCGAAATCGATCAATAAATATCTATACAAAGTAATTTCAAATTCAGGAAAGATGTTTTCAATCTATCTCCGAAAACAGATGATGCGACGGAAAAAATTGATTTATTTAATGAAGAATTTTTACTTGATTATCTGCGAAAATCATCACTCGTTCTCATATTTATGAAACATTTAGATGAGACATATCTTAGTGCAGTATGTTTAGAATATTTTGATATATATTTTAGAATTATGTGTCATATAATTAGTTTATTCGATGGTATACTGAAATTCTTATCAAATCTGATGTACATTCCAATCAATCATTCACATCTAGTTGGAATAAATCAATTGAACATTGTTGGCTTGTAACAAGTGATTATCAACGTGCACAAACAGTTTTTAGCATTCCAAAAACAAACTTATTTCTTTGGCCAACAGAATATAACAATTTTGATTATACGTCAATTATTATTTCATCGATTCTTATTCTACCTATTGCATTAACTATTAATTATGAGTTTGTATTGATTTTATTTTATGTCGAATTTCATAAAAAACTTTTCCGTAGCTAGAAGAGTTTTGTATCAAAAATGGTATATACCGGGTTTTCATTAAAGTTTTTCGAAAGTGTTTTACATATAAACTTATTTGATAGTGAAAACTTTTTAAAGCATAATGAGATGGCATCGTGTTCTTTATAACTTATTTTTTCTCAAACCATACTGATGAGGGAAATCTTCTAACTGATAAATCACTTTTTGAGTCGAAACTACGTGTGTTAAGTAAAATCAAGTAAACTCTGATCATTCCTGAACAGAGTTCTGATCCTTAGCTTATTGCTGTGAAGAAACCGAAAATTTACAGCAGTTTCTAAATGAATGCCATAGTTTCCTTCAGAAACTTCAGAAGAAAAACTAGTTTTCGAATTTCAACTTGAAACTTTGCACAGAGGTATTTTTTAATGAAAATAGTTTCTACTGAATGTTTCAGATTTTGTCGGTGTTTCTATCTTAAGATACATCCTATGATGAAAGGGTATCTTTTATAACGTTCATCCATTTATAACGGTAGGTAGTGTTCTTATTTCATGATAGAAGTAAGTTGAAAGATCTGAAACCGTCACAAGAAACTATTCTTGATAAGAACTGTCTTTCTATGAAGTTTTAAGTCGAAGTTCTAAAATCAGTTTTTCTGATGGTCTTGACAGAAACTATGGCATCCATTTAAAAAACTATCATACATGTATAGTATCTATGCAACAATAAGGTAAGGGATCGAAATATTTCTATGACATTCAAAACTAATTTGAGTCTATGTGATCCGCATAGCCTCAACTCAAAAACACCGTATGGAAATCATAAAAGGTTCCAAAGTGTAAAATACAATACATTTTTGAAAAAAAAATAGAAAAATAGCTTCAGTGTCTTGAGTAAATAAAATGCAATTTGATAAAGAAAGGTAGTATACAAATTAAAAATATTCTGTCTTTCTTCGATATGTTCTCACTATCAGGTGATCTCATTCAGAAAATTGGCTCAGAAGATCTTACTTTTCTAAAGAATAAGCTCCTGAAAAATTTTCAAGCATATTCAAAAGATACTTTTGCCAAAAGAAAATTCTTTTGGTTACTCAAATCATCTTTTCCATTCGTCGTTCTAATTAACACCAATAAGAAAATATCTCAAAAATACCGATGTATTAAACTTTTCACTCCAAGTTTACTATCGTATTGTCATAGAATCTATACGATGTTTATTGATGGTATGTCTATTGTTGATAAACATTGTCAAGAAACAACATTAGATCAAAATGTTTGTATAAAAATGGCACTTTTACGTATATGGTCGACTATTTGTGAACGAAAAAAAACTGCAATTATTACTTGTGATGATCAACTTCAATATTTCAGTAAAATAATGATTTAAAATCGATGAAAAGATACTTTTTACATTATAGGTGAATGTGTTAAAATGTTATCTGCTGAATATGATCATATTTATGAACACAAAATGAAAACGAAATTCGTATCTATTCATGAAACGCCATTAGAAAAAACTTTTCTTCAACAAACATCAAAGGATCAAAATCATTTCTCATATGATCTAATTACGATTAATGACGTTATACAAAATATAAATGTTGACAATGATCAATCACCTTCGTTGACAATTTATTCGTTAAAAGATAAACGAAATGATGCAAGCAACAACAATCTATCTGATCAAAAATTATTGCTTAACCCTCATTCATCGGAATTATTAACTATATTGACAGAATTTTATGAAAAAGAAAAGGCATTACAAGCAGATAAAATTTTGCATCCACATACTTTTATTTTACTTGATCAATTCACACCATTGACTTTAGGTAATATTACCGAGACTAAACAACAATATAGATTGGCTCGGAAAATTTTTCGAACAGATTTATGTTCAAATTTTTGTTCATTGTCATAAATGTTAATCAGAATGTCAATAGTGATTTGCGTAGAAAATTTTCGACAAGAATTTTTGAAGATTAAAATGATTGTTAGTTTTTTTTAAAGATAATCCCATGTCGCCACTTTTTTACGAACTGCGTCGCAGTTACGCGTAACTGCGCCACATTGATCGCAGTGAGAACATCTATGAGAAACTACGGTTACTGCGACGCAGATAAGCACAACTGTGTCGCAGTAATCGTATCGTACGATCCGCTGTAACTGATACTGATCAATTATAAGCGACTGCTCCGTATTTATAAGTGGTCACCGCTAAAACTTAGCCAAACAGACACTATATAAAAAGCTATCTCGATGAGACTTTGGCTCATAATTCATTCTACTGCAACAAGTAGAATAAATATTTTGAAAATAATTCTAATTTTTTTTATTATTTTACTTTTCTTATTTTTAAATTTTTTCAAGTTTTTTTCATTTTTCTAGATATTAATTTCTATTTTCAACTTTTTAACTTTTTATTTATTAATGTTATTTTTCTGATATTTATTCTTTTATTTCTTTTAAGTGTTTAATTTTTTTTTAATTTAATATTAAAAATTTTGTATGTATTTTTTTTAATTTAAAAACTTTTCTTATTAGTAATATGTTTTTTGAATTCTTGTTTTTACTTTTTGTTAAAAATTTTTAACTTTTATCTTTTGCTAGATCTGCATTTTTAAATTCTTCAAATTTTTAAGTTTTTTTATATGTTGGAAGTTTTTTTAACATTCACAACCAAAAAATTAATAAAATGAAAACCTCATCTATGTGATCTCTTTTGGGAACTGCAACACAGTTACACCGTAACTGCGATCGTACTGTGACCCGTAATTGCGAAAAACTGCATTGCAATTACACGAAACTGATTTTTTTATCGCAGTTACGCGCAACTGGGATTTTTTCATCGCAGTTTGACTGCAGTCGAACAAATGTGAAGATCTTGGACAAAAAGCCAAGCCTAAGGTTTTTTGAGAGTCTATTTTTAAAAAACTAACAATCATTTTCATGTTGATAAGTTTTTATTGGAAACCAAATTCTCTATACAAGTCACTATTTACATTCTTATTAGCATTTATGACGATGCAAAAAGAATGAAAATAAGCCAGGTCGAATAATTATAAGAACCGTTGTATATTATTCAAGTTTTGTAGGTGTTCTTATTGGTGTTTATCAAATGTCCATGTTTTTTGAAGATATTATTCGTGAAAATATCTTTCAATTAAATGATTAAACTCGTTTTCTTCTTTCACAAGATAAAATTATTAATCAACGTCAAGAAAATATGACACACGATCTTACAAATGAAATAAATTAAATACATTTCGATGAATCAATAAATCGCAAAAATCGAAGAAAAATATTTAAGTAAATTTAAATTCAGAAGAAAATTATTAATTATTGAGAAAATAAAATTCATTTGTATAAATTCTCATCAGCAACAAGATAATTTACTGTATATGTTTCATCATCTTTTGAAATTATTTTAATAGCATTTTCACACATATTCAAATAAATATTCCACAATTGTTGTTTTGTTATAAATTCTTCGAAATTTTGTTTTTTTTTCTTATAATTAAAAGCTTTTTGAAATGTTTGTTTTGTATTATTTTGTTCAATATATTTTTCAATAAGTTGAGAAATTTCTTCTTTATGAAAAAATATAATTAATTTATTGGAAAGTTTTTTACTCGTTAAATACATTATATTCCAAGCTTGATCCAGATTTATTTTATTATCATTTGAATTATTTTTAACAATAATATGAAAATCATTTTTTATTTCATTATTAATTTGTTTAATTTTATTTAAAACTCTTTCTCGACATTTTTCATTTTCACAAATCAATTGTTCATCAGATGATACATGAATATGTTGGTTCATTTGATTAGAAGTATTAGACTTCAATAGTATTATACGTTTAAAAAAAACTAGAAAAACAAGAATCAAGCGCGACTAGGAATTCATTATTTTTGCATATTTTGTTTTATAAAAAAAAAAACTAATTAATAAAGCGTTAAGGTTTCGTTTCGATGTGCTCATTGTGTCATGTTTCATCATTATAGAAGAGAAAAAAAAAACAATTCTTCAGCACTCTATTTACATGTACATTAGACAAACAACACAAAGAATTCTTAAAAGAAACTAGAAAAAATAATATTGAAACGAAGAAAATAAGAACAAAAAGAATTGGAAATCATTCGTAGTTTGAAAAAGAAAAAAACAAGACGAAAATAATGGAAGATATAATGGTAAGTTTAATAAGACTTATATTGCGTTATCTATTCTCTTATATAAATCAAAAGGATCACGACGCCTCACCTAATGTATATAAACACCAACCAGCATTGCGACTTCCACCAATGACGTCTCCAGCACCTGCTAGTGCATCCGTATTACCTCGTTTTGATAGTCTTGTGGGACGATCAAGTGCAGGTCCTTGGTCACCAGCACCATTGAATGGAAGTCCATACGAAAAATCATCAGTTGATACAAGGTTAACAAGTCCTACATTTGTGAAATCATCTTATGTATGGCCAACTAAGCCTAATAATTCATATACAAAAACGGCCGATTCAACAATATACAATAATAATTCATTTACAAGAGCAAGAGATTCAGCAATACCCGGTAATAATTCATTTACAAAACGAATGGACTCGACAATGGTCAGTAATAATTCGTCCAATGCACAAATGATATCAAGGTTTGAATAAAAAAGAAAAAAAAACATATCTAAATTCATTTGCTTCTAGTTCCGATGAAACGTGTACTTGCTTAAGTAAGCCATGCTCACCTCGTTGTAAACTTGGTATACTTGGCTTTACCATTGGACTTTTAGCTGTTTGTATACCATTGGCTGTGATATTAGTTTTATGGTTAAGAAAATAATCATTTATGACGCAGTCTATACGACTTTAATTTAATCACATTTTTTTATGCGTGCTTGTGTGTGTGTGTGCAGTATTGTAATTAGCGTCATTTTATGCTGACATTTTTTTCCTATAAAGAAAAATCATACTTGACTATTATATCAGCGTTATATTATTCAATTTAGTGAAATGATATAAGGAGGAATATAAAGTAGAAATTTACTTGTCAACAAAAGCAAATAAAATATTTCTTGATTGTTGATTAATAGTAAAGACTTCTAATAATGGTCACAATAATTTTTTTGTTCATGGAATATAATCATGAGATTCATTATAATTGATGATCTATATAATTATATTAGATCCGTAGTGCTATATGCTAAACTACTTTTGACATTCGTTAAACATCTTACATTTTTTTCAAAGAGAAATATATTCTTGTAATCTTTGAGTAATTAAAGTCAAGCAAAATATTAATTTCTGAATATTTTTACATGGGTCAGTAAAGTTCGAGAAGCTTTACAAGAATATGAAAACAAAAAAAGTCTTTCCCCTGTTTCCAATAAAAAATTTAACGAAAACTACGTAGAGTAATTAAAATCTCCTATACGTTGCACGAGACAGTATGCTTAATTTTCAATAACATTCGTTGGCTAACTGTTAAATGATGTTTTGAGAGGCAGTGCCACATACGGAAGCTGTAAATACCCCTTCAGAACTACAAAAACAGACAAAACAATCGTTCAGTTAAATTTATTGGATATTCAACTGATTTTCTGAGATACTGGCTAAAGGAAATCTTTTCTAGTCTTTCTAACTTCCTCCGAGCTTTATATTAGAAACAAGATCAGAATTTTTTGGTGTTCATATTCTTGTAGAGCTTGTTGTAATCTATCGAACCAGGTAGAAATATCTAGGAAACAATATTTCAATTCACACGTTACAAGAATATTTTGTTTTTGAAAAAAATGTAACTTGTTAAATTGTTAGTCATATTCAATTAAATAACCATAACTTTTCATGATGTTGATGCAATTGAAACTATTTTTTTTTTCGGATGATAGGTTTAATCTTTCTCTACAAAACTGTGTATTTCAGTCACGTATCCATGTATGTATTTATACAGACAAAGTCAATTTCCGCTGAGAATTCGAAACCTTTGGACCACCCTTTAGTTTTTATGTTAATATTAAACTTTGAGTTCATTGAATACTTTG